CCCGGGCCGGCGTGGCCCTCGGCCGCCTCAGGCTGAACGGATTCTGCAGAGAGAGGGAGAGAAAGAGAAGGTCGGGTTCTCAGCGCCTGTTTCCAAGCCCGACCCGCTGCTCCGATCGTTCCAAACTCACCCCGCAGCGCGGCGCCCACCTCCTCGGCGAAGGCATCCAGAGAGCGGCCGGGGGGGCGCCGAGCACGACCGCTCTCGGTCCTGGGGCCGCGCACAGCCTTCTTGCGGCCCATAGCCCTAGATTAAAAACTCTCGGCCACAGGTTTGTTTGAGTAGTGTGCGCGTGCGCACTCGCACAGCTTCCGGTTTTGAGCGCAGGCAGTTCCTGCTGTCGCTCACGTGACCGTGCGACCCAGGGAGCGATGGCGGTGCGGGTGGCCGGCTTCCTGATGCTGCTGGGGCTGGCGGCGCGCGGTCAGTGGCTCCTCCGCGCACATACCCCTCAGCACGTGGGCGTCTCCCGCGCCTCCGTTCCCTGCTCATCGCCTCGCTCTCCGCAGGGCCCGTGCCGGCATGTGCCGGGAAGATGAAGGTGGTGGAAGAACCCAACACATTCGGGTGAGTGTCTCGCGGTCCGGCGGCTTGGGGAGCGGGAGTGGCGGGCTCCTCTGACTTTCTCTGTCCTCCCTGTGCCCTTAGGCTGAATAACCCGTTCCTGCCCCAGGCAAATCGCCTTCAGCCTAAGAGAGAGCCTTCGCCTGTGTCGGGTAAGCGCGGAGGGAGGATGGAGCTGACCGAGGTGCTGACCGAGGGGGCGAGGAAAGCCCTTGGCTGGGGGTGGGGGCGGCAGCATAGGATTCCTTGGATGAAGGACTCCGATAATGTATTCATTGGAGGTTCATGCATTCGGCTGTCAGCCTGTAAGTGTTTAAATGCTCGGAAGTGTATACGGGATCCGCAACCCCCTTTCGACCCCTTGCTGGCGATTACCTAGGGCGAGGCAAGCTCTCTAGCGTTGATCCTAAAGTCTCCACTTCCCACAGGTACTTAGACTAATTAGGAGTTGCAGGGGTGTTGGGTGTGAGGAATCCACTCCAGGTGTGTTTAGCCCGGTCTAGATCTAAGGGAGTGGAGACAGCAAGATCAAAATCCTTTGTGTAGGAAAGCTGGGAGCTGAGATCCTAGGAGGACTGAAGAGCAGGACATAGCGGTTGAAGGAGGCTCAGGGCTGGTCAGCATGAAGGGACCTTGGCTAGTTGAGGGCTGCACTCTGGGAATTTGGTGACCCACTATCTGAGGTGTCCTGGACACACTGGTTTGTATTATTGATTCCCTGGAGGAGAGGTAGCCCATGGCTGGAGCCTCTGAAGCTATAGGCAGGGAACATCTACCAGTCTCCTCCAGCAGTGAACCAGTTGGGCTCAGCTGTCATCACAATCTTAAGTCCTTTTCAAGGGAGGACACTGCTTGGGATGTTCCTGATAGACACCAGAGTTCAAAGGCCTGCTACCATCGTATTGTGAGCACAGTGTGTGTGTGAGGAGGTGGCATAAGATGTGGGGATTCCACCATAGCCCTTCCAAACTAACTTGTAGCTCCTTGGTTGGCTGGGAGGAAGGGCCAGACATTGCCAGGAACCCAGTACTGCACATATGTTTATTTTTATTTATTTGTTTATTTATTTTGATTTTTCGAGACAAGGTTTCTCTGTATTG